TGGTAACCAGCCAACCCTTGTAACCCAGCACCAGGGTGCCCCAGATTGAAGGCCCAGTGATGTCAAAATCCAGGTTACAGCCCAGGTTGATGTGCTCCTGCTTGTACCTGGTCTTGATTTTAGCATTTTCCCCCCAGTATTAGGTGACAAAGGATGAATGAAGGGTCAGCTTCAGTGCACTTGCAAGCTGCTCTTCCACAGTAATCTCAGTCCTAGTGTGTTGTATGTTTCACTTCATAAACATCAGGCCATACTCAGTTTATCTGTACTTGGTCTCCAGACTGCCTGTCACTTTGGTGGTTTCAGTGTTGGCTGAGCCTAAGCTTACAAATACATTCTCAGTTTGTTTTCAGATCAACTTTTATTAAGCCATATCCATAGCCCTTGGTGAAGACATTCCTGGCAGGTTGCCAAGATTGGCACACTTGGGTGGCACAGCCATCTTCTGCTCAGAGCCCGTGGTGGTAGGGTTGGCGGCAGCTGTGATGGGGGATTCATCAGTGAGGCATGGAGCAGAGCGAGCAGCCGGTGTGTAGTGCTTTTAATGGTGTTTCATTATACACCTCATGAAGTCAGAGTCCAAGTCTGTATTGCTCACCATTATATCCTTATCACAGTACTTGGCACATAATGTGTTCTCAACAAATACTTGTTGAATGAGCATTGTTGAATCTCGCAGCTCAATTTACTATTAACATAACTAAGAGAAAGGCCTATTATCAGAAGAGACAAATGAACCTGCACATCTAACCTTTGACTTTTTGCCAATGATTTAAAGATGTTTTTCACCCACAATCTCACTAGGTGGTATCTTCTACCCTTAATAGTCATGGATCGGTCAACATCTGAAAGGCCCTATTTGGAGCAAATGACTCTGCCATTCTAGTTTCCACCTAATTTCTAAGTCCTATAGTTCTGCTTAAATATCTCTTGAACCCTTTTCCTTCTCTCCATCTTTATTTTACTAACTTAATCAAACTTTCATCAGCTATTTTATTTTATTTTATTTTATTTTTTTTGGAGACGGAGTTTCGCTCTTGTTACCCAGGCTGGAGTGCAATGGCGCGATCTCAGCTCACTGCAACCTTCGCCTCCCAGGTTCAAGCGATTCTTCCACTTCAGCCACCTGAGTAGCTGTCATTACAGGTGCCCACCACCATGCCTGGCTAATTTTTGTATTTTTCGTAGAGATGGGGTTTCACCATGTTGGTCAGGCTGGTCTCAAACTCCTAACCTCTCGTTAACCACCTGCCTCAGCCTCCCAAAATGCTGGGATTACAGGCATGAGCCACAGCGCCTGGCCCTTTAAACTTTTATCGGCTCTTATACAGATGACAGCAGCAGTGTCCTAACAGTTTTTGTTGTTGTTATACTTAAAATTTTTTTTTGATTTAATTTTTTGAAAAGGAATCCCTTCAGCTCCAGTGCAGGTGCAGAGGCTCAACAGAGTGCTTCCTAACAGCTTTTTGTCTTGGGTCTAGACTCCTTTTGATTATTTACGAATTAGCTTAGTTACTTGTAATAAAGACTCTGTTTTCCTTTTCTGGCTATGCCCCACATTCATCTATATATTCACGTATTCCACAGATATTTGAGTGACTGCTTTTACCAATTTTTAGTGCAAGCTCTGCAGATACAGAGCTGAATGAGAACATTCAATCCGTGTTCTCTTGGAACTCAAGTTATGTGAAGGTTAATATAAGACAAGTAATCACAACTGTGATGAATGTTATAAAGAAGAAATGTATCTTGTAATGGAAACATACAGTAGTGAAAACTTTCCTTGTTTGAAGGATGAAGGAGAGCTTCACTGGAAGTGTTTTTGAAGGTGAGACCCAAAGGATGAATTAAAATTAACCAGACAGGCCTGGCATGGTTACTCACACCTATAATCCCAGCACTTTGGGAGGCCAAGGTAGGAGGATTGCCTGAGCTCAGGAGTTCAAGACCAGCCTGGGCAACATAGCAAGACCCCATATCTTAAAAAAAAAAAAAAAAAAAAGATACATGCAAAAACCAAAATATGCTGGACGTGGTGGCACATGCCTGTAGTCCCAGCTACTTGGGAGGCTGAGGTACAAGGATCGTTTGAGCTCAGAAGATTAAGGCTGCAGTGAGCCATGATCACATCACTGCCATCCAGCCTGTGTGACAGAGCAAGACCCTGTCTCAAATAATAAATAAAATAAACCAGACAAAAGAGAGGGGGAAGGTCTGTCCTCCTTTCCTTCAGGTCCTTGCTCAGATGTCACCTTTTTATTAAAGCTTACTTTGATTATCCTATTTAAAATGGTAACCCTTGCTCCCCTTAGACATTCCTTTGCTTTTTTTCCATAGCATGTATCACTTCTCACATGCTATGTAGTTTATTCATTTTATTCTTTATTATCTCTCTCCCCCACTTGAATGTAAGCTCCATAAATCAGGAATTTTTGTCATTGTTACTGTTTTGTACACTGATATAACCAAACACTAAAAATAGTGCCTGATACAATTGATACTCAATAAATATTTGTTGAGTGAAAGGAAGCAAGAAGGAATAGCCCAAGAGCAAATGTATAGAACTTGGCTTTAGAGAGAGAAAGAGCATCTCTAATTGGTAACAGGAAGGAGGGAGGAGTGGATAAGAGCAGAGCTACGTGCTTTTAAAATTTGGCATTGGGAGATTGAGAGAGTTCCTTTTAAATAGCATGTGATGGTTAGTTTTGTGTATCAATGTGGCTAGACTATAGTACTCAGTTATATAGTCAAACACTAATTTGGGTGTTACTGTGAAGGCATTTTATAGGTATGGCTAACGTCTACGCTTAGTTGACTTTAAATAAAGGAGATTACTCTTGATGATGTGGATCAGTTGAAAGCCTCAGAGTAAAACTGAGGTTTCTCAAAGAAGAAGAAATTCTGCCTCAAGACTGCAGCATCGGGCTAGGTACAGTGGTTCACATCTGTAATCCAATGCTTCGGGAGGCCAAGATGGAAAGATTCTTCAAGTTTAGGAGTTCAAGGTTGCAGTGAGCTATGATCTGCACTCCAGCCTGGGCAACAGAGTGAGGCTTTGTCTCTAAAAAAATTAAAATTTAAAAAATTTAAGAAGAAAAAATAAGACTGCATCATTAGCTTCTGCATGAGTTTCCATCACGCCAGCCTGTCCTACATATTTTGGACTTACCAGCCCCCACTGTTGTGTTAGCCAATTTCTTAAAATATATCTCTTTATATAAATACATTTATCTTATTAGTTCTGCTTCTCTGGAGAATGCTGATTAATAATACAGCATCTCCTTTTTTTCAAATAGAAGGTAAAGTCATCATCTGAGAATAAAGCAGAAGGAAATGGAAGATGAGAGAGTACAAGAGGTTTGAAATACTCATTACCCAGAATGGAAGAGTAACCTGACAAAAGAAACTAGAGTTTTGGGCAGTGTTGAGGGCTCGGTAGAGCTTGCTGAACAGAATTCCTTTCTGTCTTTGTCTGAAGAGATTTGATTGTGTTTTTTGTTGGTGGTGGTGGTTTTTGTTTTTTGAGACAAGGTCTTGCTCTGTTACCCAGGCTGGAGTGCGGTGGCACGAACATGGCTCACTGCAGCCTTAACCTCCTAGGCTCAAGTGATCGTCCCACTTCAGTCTCCCAAAGTTTTTGGGATTACAGGAATGAGCCACCACACCCACCTTTTTCTTATTTCAAGTCCTTAAATTTTAAGGCCTAATGTGACTCAAGTACTCTTCCTTGCCCTTTCATGAAGAGTTGTCCATGCTCTTTATTCTTGCCCTCAATGAATCTTTTATCTTGTTCACCATTATGTCAAAATGAATAACAGCCAAACACTTAACAATTTTATCAAGTGTCTACTACTTAGCAGTCTCTATTTTAAAGCATTTTGTGTGCATTACATTGATTCACTTAATCCTCACAACAAGGTAGACATTATCTATTATCTTCATTTTCTTTTTTTTTTTTTTTTTTTTTGAGACAGAGTCTCGCCTTGTCGCCCAGGCTGGAGTGCAGTGGTGCGATCTTGGCTCACTGCAACTTCCGCCTTTTGGGTTCAGGCGATTCTCCTGCCTTAGCCTCCTGAGTAGCTGGGATTACAGGTGCATGCCACTACGCCCAGCTAATTTTTTTTTTTTCTTTTGTATCTTTGGTAGAGACAGGGTTTTACCATGTTGGCCAGGCTGGTCTCGAACTCCTGACCTTGTGATTTTCCCCCCTCGGCCTCCCAAAGTGCTGGGATTACAGGCGTGAGCCACTGCTCCCGGCCTGTTATCTTCATTTTCCAAAAAGTGAAACTGAGGTAAAATATCCCATGACTAGTAAGTGGTGAAGTTAGGATTTCAGTCCAGGCAGTCTGACTCCAGAGCCTATCTTCTTACTCACAAATGAAAATTTTTATACATGTATTTTTTTCCTCTAATATTTTCTGATCATGTACTCATGGTACCTAGTATAGGAGCTGGGGATAGAATAGGCAGCAATCAGAATCTCTGCTGCCATGGAGCTTATATTTCTAGTTAGGGGAAATAGTAAGGAAATAAATAATTATATGAAATGGCAATAAGTGCTATGGAAAGAAGTAATGCAGGTAAAGAGGATAAAGATGTTGGGGAGAGAGTTTCTATTTTCTGTTGGACAGTTAGGGAAGAACTCACTAATAAGGTGGCATTTGAGGAGAGAATTGAAATGAGAGAGTAAGCCTTGAGGGCATCTGGAAGAAGTGTTCACTCTTCTACTGTTCAGCTAGTTGTGTATGCCACTAGTTGTCCCCAGTATCTGTTGTCTCCTTTGTGAAAAGAACCTCTAAATTTTATGTTGGCATATGACCACTGAAAACAAAGATTAGATTTTGTAGCTTTCCTTACAGCTAGGTGTGACCATGTGATTGATGTGCACAGTTGCTAGGCTATGCCCTTAAAGGAAAGGGTATGCCTTCCCCTTTCCTTTTCCCTCCATCTCACTAGTTGGAATGGGACCTGGTACACATAGTAGTAAATTATTTTGGAGCTTCAAGACAAGGACTACTTCCTTGAAGAAGGGAGAACAACTAAAGTCTACCATGGTAGCCCCAGAGTACTTATATTTGCATGGTTATGTGAAAGAAAAAAATAAACTATCATGTTTAAGCCATGATATTTTGGGTCTTTTTATTATAGCATTTGTGTGGGTAGGTAGAAGTTTTAGATCAGGGTCCCCAAAACCCTGGGTCACAGACTGGTACCAATCATGGCCTGTTAGGAACCAGGCTACACAGCAGGAGGTGAGTGGTGGGTGAGCAAGTGAAGCTTCATCTGTATTTACAGCCACTCTCTGTCACTCACATTACCATCTGAGCTCTGCCTCTGTTAGATCAGCAGTGGCATTAGATTCTCATAGGAGCATGAAGCCTATTGTGAATGGCACATGCTAGGTGGCATGCTCCTTATGAAAATCTAATGTCCGATGATCTGTCACTGTCTCCCATCACCCCTCATGGGATTGTGTAGTTGCAGGAAAACAAGCTCAGGGCTCCTACTGATTCTCCATTATGGTGAGTTGTATAATTGTTACATATTACAATATTAAAATAAAAAATAAAGTTCACAATAAATGTAATACATCTGAATCATCCTGAAACCATTACCCCCTCCCCTGGTCCATGGAAAAATTGTCTTCCACCGCACTGGTCCATGGTGCCAAAAAGGTTGCCCTCTAGCCTGGGGACCACTGTTTTAGATGGTCTCCCTAAACTAGAGATCTCCTGCTCCCTAGTATATATCATCCTAGTATACCTTACATATTCCCCATCCTCAATGTTGACTGTGAATATGACAAATTTTACTTATGTGACTAGATTATAATATATGGCATAGTTGACTGTAGGAGAGATTGTCCGGGTGGGCCTGACCTAATCACATGAGCCACACGAGCCCTTTAAAAGCAGAATGTTTTCTTTATGGTTGCAGAAGGGGACATCAGAAAAGTTTGAAGGATGAGAAGCATTTGAGGCACTGTTGTTCGCTTGAAAATAGGGGAAGCAAATGTCAAGAAAGACAGGTGGCCTCTAGGACGTGAGAGTGGCTCCTGGCAAATGGCCATGAAGGAAACAGGGACATCAGTCTTACAGTTGCAAGGTACTGTATCTTGCCAGCAACAATATAGCTTGGAAGTGGATCTCTCTGAGTCCCCACCCCCCAGAACCATCAGATGAGTAGTCCAGTCAACATCTTGACTTCAGGCTTATGATACCCTGAGTAGAGAATCCAATCAAGTCATGCTGGACATCTGATCTACAGAACTGTGAGATACTACATAGGTCTTGTTTTTGAGCTGCTTAGTTTGTAATAACTTGTTATGCAGCTGCAGAAAACTTGTGTATTAGTGAGGGTTATCCAGAGAAACAGAACTGATAGGCTGAGAAGTCCCACAGTCTGCTGTCTACAAACTACAGAACAAGGAAATCTGGTGGTGTAATTCAATCCAAGTTTGAAGGCCCGAGAACCAGGACACTGATGTCCAAAGATGGAAGATGAATGTCTCAGCTAAAACAGCAAATCCACCAGTTGCCTGTTTAAATTCTATTTAGGCAACAGATTGTACAATGACCATCCACATTGGTGAGGATGATCTTTACTTAGTCTACCTATTCAAATACTAATCTCTCCAGGATACTCTCAAAGACACACCCAGAAATAATGTTTGACCAGCTATCTGAGAATCTCTTAGCTCAGTCAAGTTGATAAAATTAAACATCACAGCCAGGTGTGATGACTCATGCCTGTAATCCCAGCACTTTAGGCGGCTGAGGTGGGACAATTGCTAGAGGCCAGGAGCTCGAGACCAGGCTGGGCAACATAATGAGATCCTGTCTCTACGAAAAAAATAAAAATAAATAACAGTCGTAACTTGTGGATCTCCTAACTGATACACAAGCAGACAGCACAGCATGTATGTAGGCTGTGAGGTGCGAGTATGTTTGGTGTGATCCCGGCACAGCAGTAGTAGAGTGAATATGGGGAGAGAAGGCTACAGAGGTAGCAGGTAGTTATCAGCAATTTGTAGGCCATCATAGGACTTCGGCTTTCAGCTGAAGGAATTAGATGAGGGGGCATTAGTGAGCTTTGAGCAGAGGAGTGATAGGATCTGCCCATATTTGAAAAACAGCCCTTGCTGCTCTAAAAAGAACAGATTGTAGGGGCAACATTGAGAAGCATGAGAAGAGTTTGAGGCAAGGAGAGCAGTTAGAAGGCTGTGGAAAACCCAGGTGAGAAATGATAGCAGCTTAGACCAAGGTTGTAGTACTTAAGATGGTGAGAAATAGTTGGATTCTGGATATATTCTGAAGGTATAACCAATGGAATTTCCTGAAGGATTACTTGTGGGGGCGGGGAGAGAGAGAGAGAAGAGAGAGAGAGAGAAAGGGGTAGAGAAAGAAGGCGTTAGGAAGAGGTTGCAAACGTAACTCCAAGGTTTTGACCTGAGAAACCAGAAAGAAATTTGCCATTGACTCAGGTGGGAAAGACAGTGAAAGGAGTAGGGTTTCTTTCTTTCTTTTTTTTTCCTTTAAGTTGCATTTATTTTAATGCTGAATTTACTCCCGTGCCTCAGGTGGGAAAGACAGTGAAAGGAGTAGGGTTTCTTTCTTTTTTTTTTTTTCCTTTAAGTTGCATTTATTTTAATGCTGAATTTACTCCCGTGCCATAAGTTTTTGTTTCTTCAGTTTCATCTGCGATATCTTCTTCTTCTGGGCAACCTCCTCTTCTGGTTTGGGAACAATCTGTTCCTTTTCAGTAAGGATCATCTCAATGTGGCAGGGAGAACTCATGTATGGGTTAATCCCACCATGAGCTCTGTAGGTCCTGCGGTGCATCTTGGGTGCTTTGTCCACTTGGATATGCTCCATGACCAGAGAATCTACATCTAAACCCTTAAGTTCAGCATTACTCTCTGCATTTTTTAGCATGTGCAGCAAAAATTCAGCACTCTTTTTGAGCCACCGACCTAGAGTTCAGCCCCACTGCTTGGCCTGGGCACACCTGCCAACTCCACCATTGTAACGTTGGAATGGTACACACTGTTTCTGTAAAGTGACATCTTTCAGATACTTCGTGGCTTTTCGTATATGCATGCAGTTGATGGCCTGGGCAGTTTTACGTGTGTTCGTAAAGGGAACACGAAGATTGGAACCTCTTGATTTGCATGACTTTGTAGGGTTCTCCGGATCAAGTGAATAGTGAACCATTTTCACAGATTACCTCAGGCTGCTTAGGGAAAGAGCAGGAGCAGGGTTTCTTTGATAGGGAGAGGGTGGTTAGGAATCTGCTTTTGAGGGCCGGGGGCGGTGGCTCACGCCTGTAATCCCAGCACTTTGGGAGGCCGAGGAGGGTGGATCATAAGGTCAAGAGATCGAGACCATCCTGGTCAACATGGTGAAACCCCGTCTCTACTAAAAATACAAAAAATTAGCTGGGCATGGTGGCACATGCCTGTAATCCCAGCTACTCAGGAGGCTGAGGCAGGAGAATTGCCTGAACCCAGGAGGCGGAGGTTGCAGTGAGCCGAGATCGCGCCATTGCACTCCAGCCTGGGTAACAAGAGCGAAACTCCGTCTCAAAAAAAAAAAAAAAAAGGAATCTGCTTAGCATTTTGAGATACCTATAAGCTCTCCAAGTGGAGACATTAAGTAGGCAGTTGGATACACTAAACTGGATTTCAGAGGAGAGGTGAGGCTGAATTTCTTTATTTTTAAAATTTTTATCATTCAACTTGATTTTTAAAAATCAGCCGCCTCCATAAGCCCTTCCCCCCGAGACTCCCTCCACCCCCACCGTGTGTGCCAAATAGATGTTGAGCTCCTTGGGATCAAGGATTTTGTTTTGTTCGGTCTTCTTTTGGGGAGGTAGGATGGGGTAGATAGATACGTCGGGGGTGGGGATGGGGAAGTACCAAAGACATACCAAAGGCCTGGCACTAGTTTAGACACTCAGTGAATGGAAGTAAACACCTGCTTACGACACCCTCTGGCTTGCTAGTCTCCCGAGTCAACCGTGCTGCTTGATCAGACCCCGCCTGGTCCTCTACAGGTCCCGGTCCCAGGCAAGCCTCAGCTCACAGGTTAGTCCTGCCCCTCCTGGCTCAGGCTCTGCCCTCGGCCCCGCCCACATCAGACCCTGGCCCCTCCTCTTTCTGGCTCCCCCGGACGCTCGCGGCAAAGACTCGGTCCTTCTGGGGCCTTGTAACGGTTCTAACAGCTGGGTGCTGGGTGCAGATGGAGCTGCGGTGACTCCTCGGCTCGGGATCTGTTTCTCTTTGTTCCCCAGGGCCCGCTGTCGCCCCTGCTCTCAGGACCCTCTCCCACAGAGTCCGCCTCCTCTTCCCCCCTCTCCCAGCCCCCTGCTTTGCCCCTGCTTCACGTCTTCCCCTCCCCGCATCCTGACCTCATTTGCTGTGCCTGCTCCTCGGCTTTCTGTCTTCACGACCTCCTTAGCCTGTGGGCGAAGACGTCATGGGACTGGGGCTTTGCTGCCTCTGAGTGACAACCTCTTTCCCGGCTTTTCAGGTGATCGCCAGCCCGAGTGTAGATTCCTTGCTGTGACCGAGGTTCAAAGTGGGCCCTGTCGGTTTGTCAGTTTGCCTCTTCAAGTGATTGCATGTGTGTGTGCCAGTCTCTCTGTATGTGGGTGGCTATGATTAGGGTAAGCCTTGGACTGGGACTCAAGTCTAACTCAAGTCTAAGTTTATTCACTGTTCCAGCAGGCACTCTTCAATGAAACCTCAACAGCAGATCGGGCTCTCTTCCTTTGCCTTGCCTCCTAAACCCCCTAGGTCAGGTGAGGGGGACAGGGTACTGGGAGGTAAGAAGGAACTCTTCTGCTGAGAGGGTTCTCACCTCTGTCTTAGGCCTGCTTCTTATGAGAGTCTTTGGGGAAGCAGTAGGGAGGGCCTGAGGGTCTCAGGAAAGGCTCTCTGCTATTTCCGTGTTCCGGGTCCTTTCTTCCTCCTAACCCCATTGACTCTGACCATCCCCTGCCCAGAGCCTGAAGTCCTTTTCTGGCCCCTCTCCTGGGCTGGCCCATGCAGGTGAGGCCAGGTATCTGGCATCCTGGAACTGGCAGTTGGATCCTGAGCTGTGGGCAAGGTCACTTCGACAGCAGTTGAATGCCCTGCTCCTCATGGTCCCGGAGGACAGGAGGGTAGGTTTGTCTTCTGATGAGACATCATCTGATCCCCTTAAGTCTTGGCATTCCATATGTGTCTTGGATAGCAAAGAACAGCCCTTGGTCTCTCAGCAGAAACAGAGGCAGTTCCTGAAGCCAGCGAATGAGTCAGAGCAGCCCACAGTGCTGGAGCTCCTGGTAGCTGAGCTCCGAACTCTGTTCTCAGCTGTGTTGCAGGACAGTAGCCCTGCAGCTTGGTGCTATCTGCATGCAGTACTGGGTCTACTGCCTCCCTATCGTGAGTTGCTAGTTGGTCACCTTGATTTGCTGCCCTTCCTGGAGCAGCTGTACTGCTGGGCACCCTGGGTCCAAACCCATCTCCATCTAGACCTGCTAGGTGCCATTGTCCAGGCCTTTCCTCCAGACAATTCTTTGTTAGACAGTGCTTCCCATGCTGACTGCTATCCCCAGAAGCGGAGGCTCCGTCACAGGCCCCCATGCCCAGCTTGCCCTTTTGTGCACGCCCAGAGGAGCAGGCAGCAAGTAAAAGAGGAGGTGGCCACCTGGCTGCGACCATTGACGTTGCCTGAGCTACAGTGCTGCCTGGGCATCATTGGTGCTGAGGTGGCCCTAGAAGAGGCTGTGTGGCTGGATGGACTTAGTCTCCTTCCCTTGGCACTGGCAACGGACATCCCTGTACAGTATGAAAGCAGTGACACTGACAATGCAGAGGAGGAGCCTGCTGGAAGAAAAGAGACTAGGTAAGTGAGGGACTCGGTCTAGGGCTTGAGCAGAAGAGAAAAAGAAGCTGCATTATGGGTGCCTCTAGGGCCACTTGGATGTTTAGATCCAGCACTCTGCTGATCATAGGGATTAGCCCAGCTCCATGCCAAGCTAGTGTGAGGTTGCTTTCCTCTTCCTTTTTCTCTGCAAAATAAACCCAATGGTCTTAGTGTTAATCCCCATAGAGAAATACAGAAATTAATGAAAATCAGAAGTCAGCTATGAGGCAGCCAAAGCTTTAGAATAACAGCTTGACTTTTCGGTTTCCAGGCTTCTTTCTTGGATGATGCCAGAAGTCTCCTCAATTCTTTTTCTATAATTCATTCATAATCACTGAACATTGCCTGGGCCTACTGTGAGCTGGTTTCTGGATGCTGGGTCCTTCCCTCAGGGTACCCTAGGGATTGCGTGTCTGAGTGCCCTTCCCACATGTCTTTATAAGTTAAACAAGCTTCCAGGGAGAGTGGAGTTGGCAGCACTACTGGGTAGAATTTCATCTTGACTCTTTCAGAGTCTTCTTCTTGCCCTGCCAATGTGGGCACTTTGGCCCCTTGAGTGGTAGTTTTTTCTTTTTTTAAAATATCTGGTTATCAGAGCTCTCTACAGGAATGCCATATCAGAGTTCTGTAGTTTTTGATTTTTTTTTGAAACAGACGTCTCACTCTGTCTCCCAGGCTAGAGTGCAGTGGTGTGATCTTGGCTCACTGCAACCTCTGCCTCCCAGGTTCAAGCGATTCCTTTGCCTCAGCCTCCTGGGTACCTGGGATTACAGGCTCATGCCACCACGCCTGGCTAATTTTTGTATTTTTGGTAGAGACAGCATTTTGCCATGTTGGCCAGGCTAGGTCTCTGATCCGCCTGCCTCGGCCTGCCAAATGTGAGGATTAGAGGCGTGAGCCACCACGCCCAAGCGAGTTCTTTAACTTTAGTCTTGGAATTCTCCTTGTTCCCTGGCCTCATTTTCTAGACAGTGCTTTGCAGCTATCTGTGGTACATTTACTGTTCGGGAAGAAGGCTAGTTTTACTTTTAATTACGCTTGACTTCCTCAGTTTTTGCTGTAATTTTATGGCTAGGTCAAGTCTTTCCATAAGAGTCCAATGTTAGATAGATAGGCAGGCTCCTGGGGCCCTAATGCAAAGTGGCCAGTGCCATGAATTTATGCTTTAAGTAGCCCCATCAGAATCCTTTCCTTTTTCAAAGAGCTGCACTGTGCCCTAGTACAAGTTTCCTTTCCTGAGGGAACTTAACTGAATTGGCAATGGGCTGAGATGTTGGGAAGGGGTCAAGTTCTTTGCCCTCACTTTGAACCTGGCAATAAACCTCTGAGGTCTAGCTAATATGGCTAAGTTTGCATTAAGTTCTCCAGGAGTGGCTTCCCAGGCATTCATTCATTCCATAAGTGTTGGATATCTACACTTATTAGGAACTGCAAGATTCTAGACATACAGAAGTGAATGAGACAGACTCAATCCCTTCCCTTGAGGTATTACAGTTGTTAGGGAGATAGATATCATTAAGTTGATAACAAGTAAAATATGATTACAAATTGTAATAAGTGCTATAAAGCAAAAGAATACTGTCTTTTGCCTGGCTGCTCCTTTGGGGGTGGGGGGTGAGAAAGAGAGAGAGAAGGGGAGTATAGTTAGGGGAAAGCACGTGTTGGGAGTGTTCAATTCTAGATTAGATTAACAAAAATATCTTTGCAGGTTAGGAGGTGAAATAGAGTTTTAAGGAGGAGGGAGCAGTCAGTAGTGTTACATGTTAAATGAGACAAGTAAGAAGGATGAAAAATGTTCATTGGATGTAGTAACAGGAAGAGGTTAAGTTTTGTGTGGAGAAAGCTAGATTGTGATGCATTGAGGAGTGAATGGGAGGTGAAGTGGAAATTGTGTTTTAGCAGGGCAGCAGCTTGAAAGAATGTTGCTGTCAGAGAGGGCTCTTTTATTTATTTATTTATTTATTTATTTTGTATAGAGTTTATAGCCCTTAACACAGTGCTTGAGAAGTAGGTGCTCAATAAATATTCGTAGACTAAAATGAATAAAATAAATTAAGGTAAAAAGAAGAGTAGATTAAAAATATATAGAAAGAATAAGTGATCCAGAGCACTGATAGAAGAATCAGTCTTACAGAGAAGAAAGGATACCTCTTCCTCCGACACTGGGGGACAGATAGGTGTGTGAAAAGCAACGAAAGTTGAGGGATTTGACTAATGACTAAAAACTTCAGTTTTCTCCAGACAGGGAAGGAGGCAGAGAATGGGATGGAGCTGGGAGCTCGGCAGGGCTGGCATGGGGTTAGGGATAGCAGTTTGAGAGGCCTGAAGGAGGTAGCTGCCTGAGGGCTTGTATGAAGACATCAGAGCAGAATGAGTCCACAGCTGATTGGACACCAGGAACCTGTAGAGGAGCAAATGTCCTTGGTTTTGTGATCTTCTGAATATATTATATCATATAGGACTTTGCTGAGAAAATGAACCTGTAACAGCAATATATCATTTAAGATGTCCTGATCCAACACAACAGTTCATCAAGGACATATTTATGAAGGTTATAAACCATATTAGTTTTTTGTTTTTTATCTCAGTCTGTGATTCAGTCTTTCTGGTATAAACCATATGGTTGATGTGAACTCTAGAATAGGACTGCACGGTTATCCCTGGGCAAACTTGTGTTGCTCTAAGTTTGGGTCAATTACTGATACTGGTATATTCTGACTGGCTAAGTCTAAGTTAAATCATTTCAGAGGTTGTTTGTTTGTTTTTTGTTTTTTCTGCTCTCAGGTCACCCCAACTAGAAATTATTACCAATTGACTTTTGAGTTATTGATAACTAAATTCTACACCAATTTTGTTGACCAATATGTAGAAGAGTAAGAAGATGAGTGTACTGGTGCAGGCTTGAGGAGGCCACCACCGGATCTTGGCAGGAAAGGAAAAAATGTGAAGCTAGAGGTTAGGTGATGGTGGGGGAAGAGCAGAAAAAGTGACAGGCATGGAGATCGTTCAGGGTTGGAAAGCAGGTATAATAGAATCAAAGATAGAATATTAAATCTGGAAGGCTAAGAAGGTTGACCTGGGATGGAAATCCAGTACTGTGGGCTTATGTAGCAATGAGTTGGGAAAATGAAGTCTTCCCATTATTTGTACACAGTATCATGTAATACTGACTTCATGGTAATTACAATCAATCCAGAATGATTATTTATCAGAAAGGGATGGGTTGCTCACACACATTTGTGTGAATGTTGTTGCATGAGCTACTGTATTTGCCCAGTATGTGGTATCTTTGAGTATAGATGGTAGACAGGCTCTGACAATGCCATGTCGGGTCTCCCCAGGCACCTGATCTAGCTCCTCCTTTCACGGGCCAACAGCAGAAAGACCTACTTCTAAGAACTTGACTTTTTTGCTCTGCCTTTTCTTTCCTGACTTTTTGTCATACAGGTCTCAGCTTGACTATGAAGTTCCCAGGGAAGAGGCCTTCCAAAAGAGAAGCACTGGCTTCTCACCTGAGACTTCCTTCCGGAATACCCAGGTGATGACTGTTCTGAACATGGAGAGATACCTGAAGAAGATCCACTTCCTCTATCTCAATGTGGCTCCCAGCCGGTACTTTAGGTGAGAGCTTAAGTCTAAGCCCCTTCTTCCCCCCCTGCCTGGTTTCCTCTTATGCGATCTTCCCCCTCCTTTTTCTCCATGTGCGCACACCTCTCTCTGTCCTTTCTCCACATACTCCTCCTCTGCCTCTGGTGTGCCCACCTTTCTTCCCTTCTCCTCAGCCTCCTCCTCTCCACTCTGTATCTCCACTTCACTTTCATAGCCTGTTGTCTTACACATCCTTTTCTCATGTTTTGCTCTTTCTTCTTTATCCCAGAATGATGGAAACACGTGTTCATAGTCTGAGAAGTAAATTTTATGGTGATCTCTTCCAACTGCAATGCAAGAATCATGTGTTTGTTTAAATCTTTGCAATGTCAGGAAAACTTTTTTCCAGACGTCTTATTCCTTAGACTGAATCAAAATCTGCATTCTTTTAACTTCTACTCTTTTAATGTCTACCTCCTGGTCTTAGTTTATCTCTGGGGCTGTAAAAAACAAGTCTCCTTCTTCCCCATGACTCAAGAGGCATTTATTCACTTTCTCTCATTACATCCAAATCACACCTACTTTAAAAAATTTATTATTATTATTATTGTTATTATAATTATTATTATTTTGAGGCAAGGTCTCTATCACGCAGGCTGGAGTGCAGTGGCGCAATCATGGCTCACTGCACACTTCTCTGGCTCAAGTGATCCTCTCACTTCAGCCTCCTGAGTAGCTGGGATTACAGGCATAAGTCACCACACTCTGCTAGTTTTCTAAAATTTATTTTTTGTAGAATGAGGTCTCACTATGTTGCAGGCTGGTCTTGAACTCCTGGGCTTAAGCCTTAGCTTCCCAAATTGCCAGGATTACAGGCATGAGCCACCATGCCCGGCTCAAATCTCACCTATTTTTAAAAGCGCTGTTCAAGTCCATCTCCTCCCAGAAATAATGGTAAAAATTGCCTTTAATCAAACTCTTCAATATATTAGGCACTGTGTTAATCAACTCATGACATGTGTTTCTTAATCCTCATCTACCAGGTAGGTTCTGTTATTATTTCCATATATGAGATGAGTGGACTGATACATAAGAGAGGTTGAGGAATTTATCCAAAGTTACATAATAAGTGGTATAACCAGGACTTAAACCTAGGACGATCTTAATTCAAAAGTTCATGCTCTTAAGCAGTATCTACTATAGCCTCCCAAAGAACCTTATTTCCTGTGCACACTGATCTCTTTCCCTTGAACTTAGGTAGTACTAATGATCAATATTATTCATTCATTTACTGGTCAATTCAGTTAATAAATGATCACTGACAGCATCATGCTGGTTATTAATTGATTGTCTCCTGACTCTAATTCTCCTCCTCCCTCTCTGCTTTGTGATACTGGGGCTGAGATTCTGCAAACTTTTTCTCCTTTTCCAGCTGGCCTCCTATTAGGTTTGATTAATGCAGGGTGCTAGGAGACTGGACAGCAAGATAAGAGGAGAAGGGACTTGCTACTTCTTTTGCTTGCTCTTTCTGTCATCATTGCCTCAGCAACAGTCTTTCACCCTGCCAGTAGCTCTTTCTTTTTTCTTTTTTTGAGATGGAATTTCACTCATTTCCCAGGCTGAAGTGCAATGGCGCGTTCTCAGCTCACTACAACCTCCCTGGTTCAAGCGATTCTTCTGCCTCAACCTCTGAAGTAGCTAGGATGACAGGCATGTGTCATCTGCCCAGCTAATTTTGTATTTTTAGTAGAAACAAGCTTTCTCCATGTTGGTCAGGCTGGTCTCAAACTCTTGACCTCAAATGTTCCACCCACCTCAGCCTCCCAAAGTGCTGGGATTATAGGCATGAGCCACCACACTGGGCCCAGCAGCACTTTCTGAATCAGCCTCTTCATAACTCTGAGAGGTACCAATACCAGCTGGTAGCCCCTTTCCTTCAGAGTTCTTTTTGTTGTTGTTTTCTTTTTTTAAACAGAGTCTTGCTCTGTCACCTAGGCTATAGTACAGTGGCATGAACACAGCTTGCTGCACCCTCCACCTGCTGGGCTCAAGTGACTCTCCCACCTCTGTCTCCCATGTGACTGGCACCACAGGTGCCTACCACCCTGCCTGGCTAATTTTTAATTTTTTTGTATATATGGCATCTAACTTTGTTGCTCAGAGTAGTCTCGAACTCCTGGGCTCAAGCTGTCCTCCTTTCTCAGCCTCCCAGTGCGCTGGGATTACAGGCATGAGCCATTGCACCCGGCCCCAACAGAGTTCTAAGTCTCAACTCTGCAAGGGCCCTCCAGCCTCATAGCTTCTTATAATCCAAACCTCTTCCATTTGTTCCTCTAGTTCTGGAGGTGGTTTTGTTTCATTTTGTTTTGTTTTGCCTATAGTTATCTCTGTGCTACCTTAGTGTTCCCCTTTTTCTTTTCTTTTTCTTTTTTTTTTTTTTTTGAGATGGAGTCTTACTCTGTCACCTAGGCTGGAGTGCAGTGGTGTGATCTTGGCTTACTTCAATCTCTGCCTCCCAGGTTCAACCGATTCTTCTGCCTCAGCCTCCCAAGTAGCTAGGATTACAGGCACCTGCTAATATGTCTGGCTAATTTTTGTATTTTTAGTAGAGACAGGGTTTCACCATATTGTCCAGGCTGGTCTTCCTGGCTTCAAGTGATCCACCCACCTTGGCCTCCCAGAATGCTGGGATTACAAATGTGAGCCATTGTGCCTGGCCCTCTGACATCTTTTTAAAAAACACATTCTCTTTATTAAATTCACTTTGTTGAAATGCCTAGTGCAGTTTCTGTTTTCCTGACTGGACCCTGACTAACACAGCACTTGGTATTTTGAGTAGTCCCAGGAAACTATCCTCAGATATAGGATCTTCATTGGCTTCGTAATGTCCTTGGTCTAGACCAGTACTGAATTCCTTGCTAATGGGAAATAGGATACTAGCAATCCATGACACATAGTGGTGTCACAATTAATTAAATTATCACTTGTGGTTGATTGTGATACCGACAGCTAGTGGCTGCTACACTTGACTGTCATGGCTGTAATGATAGTCATGGTAACAATGTGGGATGGAATGCTTACAAACCATAGTGGAGAGCTTACAGAAAGCAAATGACAAGCTTAGGGCTTTAAACTATCATCATCTGTTATAATCAGAGAAGCGTCACGATCAAAGACAATTAGGCACATAAAGAGACAAGAAACTATTACCCAGAGAACTAAAAAGGCAATGAATGATTACAGGGCCAGGATCTGCCAAAGAAGAAAACCCAGTGCAGTGAGTTCAGCATTTGGTGATGCTTTTCCCCAAACAGAGGCACCTGTCAATTCCAGTAAAGGTAGTTATATGTTAATTTTACTACACATTCCTGAGATACTGAAAAGAGGAGCCACGCTTTCAACAGACTCAGGGAATTAAATGAGCAAAAGTTGCATTCAGGTCCCATACCAAGGAGGAGATATATTTCTGGTTCTGCTTTACTCCTGTGTTGTAACCATTTGGGGTCTGGAACCAAAGCCTGGGGGATTACATTTTTGGGGTCTCTGATGTGTTATACAGATGGTTTCTACATATTATCCAGATAGTTGGCCTAGTTTTTCTAGCTGTTCTCAAGTGGGAATGTTGGTCCAAATTTCTATTACACCATCAATAGAAAGAACTGTTTCATTTTATTTATTTATTTATTTGCCATGTAACAGGTGTTTTTTAAAATGTGTTTGAATTTATCAAATTTTTAATTCATTCTCTCCAGTGTTTGATTCACACTTAGGAGAGAACTTATTCCTTCACCTCCCTTATTCCTCGAGTCTTTGCTCAGCTGTCGCTTCCCCACCCTTACCACCCCATTTAAAATTGCCCTTCCTTCTCCCCTGGCACTGCCAATCTCCTTTTGCCTGCTCTTTTTTCCTTCTCCCTGTTGTTAATTATATTTATCATCTTTCTTCTCTAGTAGAATGAGAGCTCCATCAGGGGAGAGGTTTGGGTTTGTTATGTTTAATGATGTATCCTCAGGGCTTAGAACAGTCTGGCGTAGAGTAGATACTCAGTAATATTTGTTGAATGAATGAGTGAACTAATTGTCCAGATTAGGGACAGATTTGGTGGGGGTAGATATTAAGTTTAGTATAGAACTTAATGAGTTTCAAGTGCATGCAAGACAGAATTTGAGATGTTTTGAAAACAGCTGAATGTTTGGGCCTGGGACTCAGGAAGATATTGATTTGCCCCATCTACTCTCTAGTATCATGTCATACTCCAATTGATTCTGAGGCCTTTGAGAGCAAGGACTACATAGAAGTCATCTTTATGTCCCCATCTCTGACCACAATACTTGAACAGAGGAACAACTTGATAAATGGTTTAACTAAGTTCCATAAAGTCAGGGACTGGATTTTTCTTGCACACTGCTGTATCCTCAGTGGCTTACACACTGATTGCCTTAATAAGCATTTGTCACATGAGTGAATATTCTTCAAAGGAGTAGTGGCTTTTGGGAATGAGAAGAGTGCTCCAT